AGGAGCAGCAGCAGCAGGAGCTGACTTGAAAGGAGAAGACAGCAGCGCATGCATCGATGAGGTGTACATACACCTGACGCGCCTGGGGGTCCCCGCTGTGTCTCCCCCCCCACAGCACGTCAAGCAGCAAGCCGCAGGGGAGAGGGGCCCCAGCAGCAGCAGCAGCAACAGACATACTATACACCTGAGACAGAACCCTAAACCCTAAACCCTAAACCCTAAACCCTAAACCCTAAACCCTAAACCCTGAAATATATGCAGATAAGGTGATACGCTGTCGGGGTGCAGCAGCAGCTCGTGAACAAACGCAGGAACAAATTAGGGTTTAGGGTTTAGGGTTTAGGGTTTGCTTTTTAGGGTTAGGGTTTAGGGTTTAGGGTTTAGGGTTTAGGGTTTAGGGTTTAGGGTTTAGGGTTTAGGGTTTACTTGTGAGAGTATAGATCTGAGTATTCTTAGTTTGTGGGGTTCTTCTTTAAGGGCGACGGAGACAGCAGCAAGCGGTGCTGTTTGCTGCTGCAGCAGCTCCTCTTCTGCTGCTGCTACAGCAGCTAGGTATCCATCCACAAGCTCCCTAGAAGCACGAGCCAGTGCTGCGGTGTATAGACCCCCTGCTGCTGCTGCTGCTGCTGCTGCAGCAGCAGTTGTTCCTCCTGCTGCTGCTGCTGTTGCTGGGTCTCCACCGGCTGCTGCTGCAGCCAATGGAGGCCCCACCCCGCCCCCCGTTGCTGCAGCAGCAGCAGCAGCAGCAGCAGCAGCAGCAGCAGTTGCTGCTGCTGCTGTGGTTCGAGTGTACGGAGGCGGCAGCAGGTGTCTTCTTTCTGCTGCTTCTGCTGCTGCTGCATATTCTCTTATAAGCAGCAAATCATATCCTGGGGCAACAGCTCTCTCCAGGGCCTCTTTCTCGCTGTCAGTGAAACAGCTGAGCCGAGGGTTCACACGAAACCCCCCAGAACCAGAGAAAAAACACCTGCTGCTGCTGCTGCTGCTGAGGCCCTGCTGCTGCTGCTGCTGCTGCTGCTGCTGCTGCTGCTGGGGGGGGGAGGTGAGACACTCAGACTCCTCGTAACGCACAAATATATCCCCCGGGTACCCCGCAAGAGCCATAAAGATTTCGTGCAGCATTGTGGTGCTGTTTGTTGAGGTGTATATACACCTGAAACAGAGAGCAACCAGCAGCAGCGGTGTGGTGGGGTGGGCCCCCAGTATAGGGGCCCCCAGCCCCTATTAAACCCCTAAATTAATTATTATTTATTTTTATTTTTATTATTTATTTAATATAAATCAATTTATATTTTATTTTATACTTTATAAGTACCCTAATACCCGCCAGTGTGTGCCGACACCGACAGCTGGCTGGGGGGCCCCCCAGCTGCTAGGGGGGCCCCCCCCCTGTTTGTGTGTAGAGAGATATGGTGTTGTTTTGTGTGTATTGGTTTATATTTTTATATTTTAATAATTAAAATATATTTATTTATTTATTTATTATTTTATTTATTTATTTATTTTCTTTTTTGGGGGCTGTATACACCTGGGTGAGGATGCATAGACACCCGGAGCCACACGGGGATCGGGATCGGGGGGCTGAGGCCCCCCAACAACACCCCACACATGCAGCAGCAAATATATTTTTTAATACAACTGTCTAGCCCCTTCTCCACTCTCCTGCTGCTGCTGCTGCTGCTGCTGATCCTGCTGCTGCTGCTGCTGCCCCTGCTGCTGCTGCTGCTGCTGCTGCCACTGCTGTTGCTGCTGCTGCTGCTCCTGCTGCTGCTGCTGCTGCTGCTGCAGGGGACTCTTGGTGGGGGGGAGGGGCTCACACAGCTGCGAAATAAGAAAACCCTAAACCCTAAACCCTAAACCCTAAACCCTAAACCCTAGTAATTATATAACAGCTGTAACTGCAGCAAATGCAAGCATCATCTGTCAGCAGCAGCAGCAGCAGCACAGTCTGCTGCTGTTTAGTGTATAATATCTCTCCTTAAGACTATATATATACAAATATATACACATATATATGCATATGTATATACATATATATATATATATATATATATATATATATATAT